AAACTGCAACAGCTAGAGCCGTGCCACCCTCAACCCAACACATTCCAGCACCTGCAGGATTGTCCACTTGGTGTCACTCACCAGGTAGGGTGAGGAGACACCCCCCCGGCTGGTCGTGCCACAGCAGGTGCCTCGGGTGGTTCTGGATGGGGAGGCTCTGGCTCCGGGGCTGCTTCACGCCACATGCTAGCCCCAACTGTCTGGGCCACCAGCTGGAACACAGACTTGTCCAAGCTCAGCCAGCCAGAGGGCAACCTGGAGGGAGGAGACAGAAGCAGTCAGTGGCAGGAGAGTGCACCCGGGGAAACAGAGCAGCTGCTCTCATGGCAAGGTCACACCTTAAGAGGTTTGGCTTCATGCACAAAGGGCACTGCTAAGCATGGCCCAGGTCTCCAGGTGAGGAGAGCTCAAATGTAACACCACAGCCTGGACTGGGAAGGACATTTCCAGTGGTCATTTTCAGGAGCAGTATAAGGGCGTATAGAGGGAGAGGCAGTGCAGGGAGGCCTCAGCTACTGGGGGCAACTTCACGCCTCCCCCACATTTGTTGTAAGCTACAAAAGGCTTGGCTCCATGCTCTGTTCTCAACATGTGGTTTTGGGAGGGATGAGGTGATGTTGGGGCCATGTGGCAGGGTTTAGATGGCAAGGCAGTGGTAGAGCTCAGAGCCTATGAGATGGACTGAGCAAGCATATGGGAGGAATTAAGGCAGGCTGGCAGGACTGAGCAGGGTTACAGACCCTTGATGTGCCACCACGGTATACTCCAGCAGTCAGTTCTTGGCCTGTCTTGCACCCCTACTGCCACACTCCAGGTTAACCAGCCCTTCTCAGCCCCAAACCACCCCTGCCCTTACCTGTTTGATTGCCTTGGCTCTTTTTGTACCTTCCTGGACCCAAACAAGTGTCCCCACTTGATGGCTTGGCTGCCCTCTGATGCACTGGTGCTGCTGTCCTCTTGGGGGGCTGCTTCTGCTGCTGCTGCCACTCTTTGCTGAGCCTCCTTCTCCTTGCTGCGCTTCAGCTCTGTAAGCACAGAGTCTGGGGGGCTGCCCATCCAGAAGGGCCAGCTCCGTTCCTTCACCTCTTCGCCGACCACTCCCTGCTGGGGCTTTTCCAAGGGCTCTTGCAAGGCTTCAGGACTTGGCTTGCTGGCCGCCTTGGGCCTCTCCTCCAAGGTGCCCTCAGCAATGGGACAAGCCTCTGCACCCTCCACCACCCCTTCCCGGGGAGGTGGTGTCTTGTGGGTCTGCACTGACCGGGGCGCAGGATTCAAAGCCGCCTTCTTCTTCTCAGAGCGGATGAACTTGGAGCCTTCGGCTGAGCTCTCGATGTAAATCTGAGAGGTTTGCATGAGCTGGTACCACCAGCCTGCCTGCTTGTCCTTCTTCCCCTCCCACGTGCTCTCTCGCACCTTGCTCTGCTCTTCCTCCCTGTCACCTTCTCCGCAGGAGGCCCCCACTCCCTTGACCCTCTTCTCACCCACGGCTTGCTGTGGGCTGTGCCCTGGTGAGATGTCACCACCTCTGGCAGCCCCTTGGCATGTTTCAGGGGCAGTGCTGCAGCCATCAGGATCCTCACTGCTGCCCCGGGTCCGCATCAGCTGCAGGGTGGAGTGCACGGAGAGCAGCAGGTCCTGCTTCACACGCAGCAGCTCCTTTTGCTGCTGCTGCTCTTTGCCCATCTGCATCAGGTGGTGCTCAAACAGGAGGTCTAGGTTGAAGGGCAGCAGGGAGAGAGGCTGGAGCAGGAGCAGGAGCTCCTCAAAAAGAGGCTGGCACACACTGTGAGACAGGCACAAGAAGCCCACTGGCTGGTAGTGTGCCAGGATGATGTCTGTAGGAAAACAGACATTGATTAGAAGAAAACGCTCTTGCCCCCATTGTCAAGCCACCATGAAGCTGCTGAAGCCTATGAGGAAAGGAGATGGACGCCAGTTTTTGGTCACAGTGTGAGGCTCAGGCCTGGGTCAGGGAGCACCAGACGCTCTGTGACCTCTCAGCAAACTGGCCCAGACAGAGCTTTCCAGTTGTAGCTGCAGCCAGGACTTGCCTGGCAGACTATAAACCAGATGATCTCTGCCACCAAATGGAAGTAAGGTGGGGATAAAGCATTGGCACATGTGAAAATTCTCTTCTTCCACTTCTGGAGATGAACAAGGAGCTGCAGATATGGCCAGTACCAGACCTCTGCAGATAGAGGTGTCAGGCACAGCTGAATACAGTCTTTTCAGCAACCTGCACTGTGAGTCTTAGCAGA